AGAAGAACAACTTTCTATTAGTTTATTTGTATTCGAATACAAATACAAATAATAGACATATTGGAATGAATACGACTTAGAAAAGGAAACAAGATTTTGAAAAGAAAAATAAATACACAGTGAAAAATATATATGAATACAAATGTATTTCTTAAATAGCTACATTTTATTTGACATACATATTGGAATGAATACAAATTAATAAAGGTATGTCAATTGAATTTATTTTTTTCTAATTTGTATTTATTCTAAAGGTATGTCAACTAGTTATGTATTTTATTTAAGAATGAGTACACTAAATATTTAATTATTTCTTTTCAATTATATATTTTATTCACTTTTTCATCATACTAATTTTTTGTATTTTATATATTATTATACAAAATTCTAAATAAAAACTAGAATAAATAAAAATACAAATAAAATACATATTGAAATGAATAGGAATTTTGAATAAAAAAACAATTATATAGGAAAAAATATATGAAAATACATATATAGATAAATTCGGCATACCTATTGGAATGAATACAAACTAATAAAAAACTATAATAAATATAAATACAATATATTGTGGAATGAATATAATTTTAAAAAGGTAAAAATTCTGGAGAAAAAAAAACAAAATTTAAATTTTATTTGAAAATGTAACTGATGAGAAAATTAAGGATGCTTGCCTTTTTTTGAAATATTCCCTCTCTTAATTTTCTCCTTTTTGTAATTAAATAATTATATTCTTTAAATAAAAATAAATAATAAAAACATAAATAAGATACATAACAAACTAAAATGACATTTTTACTAAATATTGAAATTGTTGCTAATCAGTCATCTTAAATGCTAAAATATTGACATTTCGAAAAATTTTCCTTTTTAATTAGCTAGACTCGTTTTTCATTATAAGTAAAAAATAAATAAAATATTAGATAGATTTTTAAAATTGAGATAAATGTTCTCCTTTAAGAGTGAATGATACAAATGCTCTTCTTTTTGGACGGTTAGATTCTAGTGTTCAAATAATATAATGGAGGATATTCGTATAACGTTTTTCATGGTTCAAAAGTATAATGATCCTGTTTTCCATGATTAACACATGTTAAATCAACATTGAAATTCAATTTAACCTTCAAAATAACACAACGATAATTTTAGTACAATGTTTCTCTTGCACATATTCTCTTATTTTATATTTTATTTTATTAATTATAAGAAACCACAGCTTTACCTGTGTGTTTCATGATCCTGTCACTACAACAAAAATAATTTTTAGCGACATTAAATATTGATACTAATAAAAAATGTTAAAATCAGTATCGACATTAGTTAAGTGCCATTAGAACCAGTGTCGCTAAAGACTTTAGGAACATCTACAAAGAGTGACAATTGCTACTAAAAATACATATTCGTAACAATTAAAAAATAGATACCGCTAATGATCATTTTTATTATAGCGTGTTATCTTATTTCTCACATGGAAGAATACATCATCATTCAACTACATTATTTTGGTAAAAGATGACAAATTAAAGAAAAGAATTTATGAGGCATGCACCCCCTCCTTATTCTTCGATAAAAAAAAATCATACAAATTTAAAACTTTACCTAAGTCTCGTCATTATACTTTTCTGTAAGAAATAATTTACAAAAGGCAAAAACGAGAAATAATGAATAAGAACAGGTAAAAATAATTATAGGATGATGCAAATCAACAATGTCACTAAACATTTACGTATACAAACAAAAATCTAAATTAAAGATTTAACGTTAACCAGTGCATGTGGCGACACTTTCTCTTGCTAACATGTGGGCAAGGGAGGGATAATGATATGGTATGCATTATCAAGTTATAGACGTAAAGATAACGATCGTCGGTGAAGTAGACGGACTCTTTTTTAAGATTTGTGCCTATGATAGAACAAGTTGTGCCCGACCTTCCAGGGAAACTTATAAAAATTGCTATTTCCCCGATGCTTTCTGATTTTATCATCTTTTTGTTGCAAAATCAAATTGGAATACTCGAAAATGGTATGGCATTCCATACTCTCTCCCGTTAAAAATTAAGTGAACATATAACAGCATACCGTTAGAAGACGATTGAATGATGTAATCTCTACATAAAGTATGGTCTAAGTATTTTTTCGTCAGATTTGGAGATCCGTTAGTCATTGGTGTAGCTGTTATTCTTCCTGAATCATTTACATCCAAACACGTTAGAATATCTTGCATCCCAATTAATGCATAAATTTTTTTCTTGAAAATTGTCCATGTTCGAAGATGTGAATCTCCGATAATTGATTGTACATCCTGTTTATTGAATTCTTCATCATAACCTGGTTTGCAAAAGTAAAAAATAAGCAGATTCTGATTCTCATTCTCGTCATCGTCATCCTCATTGGACTCGTCATCCTCATCCTCATCCTCATCCTCGTTTACAGCCCCATCCCCATTGGAGTTCTCATCCTCATCCTCGTCATCCTCATCCTCATCCTCATTGGAGTTCTCATCCTCATCCTCATCCTCGTTTTCAGCCCCATCCCCATTGGAGTTCTCATCCTCATCCTCAGCCCCATCCCCATTGGAGTTGTCATCCTCATTAGTTTCATAACCGTTTTCATCTCCATCAGAGTTGTCATCCTCATTAGTGTCATCATTATCCGGAGTAGGCTCAGTCTCTTT